GATAAAATATTGTGTTTACCGGACGAAAAATCCTAATAATATATGCTCTAATATGTACTATATTCTTAGGGTTTCTCACCAGTAAGCACATATCGGTACTTCTTGAATGTTCATTGCAGGTAAGATTTTTACATTTAATAACAATAAATAAAATTGAATTCTACAAAAAAGTATATAATTATTGGAGTTTGGTAGCTCTTATGTTATATTCTTTCTAAGACTCTTAAAATATCGATAAAATATTGTGTTTACCAGGAAAAACCCTTATACTTATATGCTCTAATATATACTATACACATAAGGGTTTTCACCAGTAAGCACATGTCTGTGCTTCTTGAGTGCTCATTGCAGGTAAGATTTTTATATCTAATAACAATAAATAAAATTTAATTCTACAAAAAAGTATACAATTATTGGAGTTTGGTAGCTCTTATGCTTTTTCTTTCTAAAACTCTTAAAATTTCGATAAAATATTGTGTTTACCGGTCAAAAGCCATATGAATATATGCTTTAATATGTACTATATTCATAGGGTTTCTCACCAGTAAGCACATGTCTGTGCTTCTTGAGTGCTCATTGCAGGTAAGATTTTTACATCTAAAAACAATAAATAAAATTGAATTCTACAAAAAAGTATATAATTATTGGAGTTTGGTAGCTCTTATGTTTTTTCTTTCTAAGACTCTTAAAATGTCGATAAAATATTGTGTTTACCGGACGAAAAACCCTAATAATATATGCTTTAATATGTACTATATTCATAGGGTTTCTCACCAGTAAGCACATGTCTGTGCTTCTTGAGTGCTCATTGCAGGTAAGACATTATTGTATTATTATTATTATTATTGACATTACTGATATTCTTTATAACAGTAAATTACAAATTTATTTAGACAAAAAAATATTTATTTAAAAATATGTTATCAAAATTTGTTGAACGGACTTACTCTTATAGTTATATCAAAATTAACTAACATTTTTTATACGCTGTTCTTGATTTTGATGGGGAAGAGACGATTTCTAAAATAATAGACCCAATAGAATCACTTCCAAGTACGATTTCTGATTTAGAGGCTTGTTACATGAAAAAAATCGGTTTAGCGATGTAAGTAGAATATCATAAAATATAAGTAAAACATTGTGCATAGAGATGTAAAACATTTCAGCCATATGTTCCAATATATACTATGTTTGAATAGTTTTTCACCAATAAGCACAAGTCCGTACTTCTTGAATCTTCATTGCAGGTAAGATTTGTACATTTAATAACTATAAATAAAATTGAATTCTACAAAAAAGTATATAATTATTGGAGTTTGGTAGCTCTTATGCTTTTTCTTTCTAAGACTCTTAAAATGTCGATAAAATATTGTGTTTACTGGGGAAACCCCATATAAATATATGCTCTAATACATACTATATTCATAGGGGTTTTCACCAGTAAGCACATGTCTGTGCTTCTTGAGTGCTCATTGCAGGTAAGATTATTACATTGAATTTTACCATCCTTAATAATAAATAAAATCGGATTCCAAGTACATAATATAAAAGTCAATTGAAAATTATCGTCTTGTGAGTATTACAAAAAGGAAATTATAATTGCTAAGTACAATAACTTTGTTCGGCTACAGTTAAGTATAATGCAACTATAAGTCCGTTAAATATTAAAAAAATATGTATACAAAATAACATACTGAACAAATTGGCCGTTGCAGACTAGTATAACGTCGTTGCCGCGAAAAAAACTCCATGTTCTAAATCCTAATTGTTCTGGAGACATTAAAACGTGTAAAACAATTTATAGTAGGTAGCACGTTGCCGATTTTATCATGTGATAGCTTATTTTTTTTTTGCATACCAAAACCTCAAAATCATAAAATTGGCACATAGTTTTTTTTTCGCGGCAACAACGATACGTTATAATAGCGATTTCTAAAACTCTTAAACTATCGATAAAATATTGTATTTACCGGGGGTAAGGCAACAGGCATGTGCTTTAAAATAATACTATATCTGTATGACTTCTCACCAGTAAGCACAAGTCCGTACTTCTTGAATGTTCATTGCAGGTAAGATTTTTACATTTAATAACAATAAATAAAATTGAATTCTACAAAAAAGTATATAATTATTGGAGTTTGGTAGCTCTTATGTTTTATTCTTTCTAAGACTCTTAAAATATTGTGTTTACCGGGGAAAAGCCATATGAATATATGCTTTAATACATACTATATTCATAGGGGTTTTCACCAGTAAGCACATGTCTGTGCTTCTTGAGTGCTCATTGCAGGTAAGATTATTACATCTAATAACAATAAATAAAATTGAATTCTACAAAAAAGTATATAATTATTGGAGTTTGGTAGCTCTTATGTTTTTTTCTTTCTAAGACTCTTAAAATGTCGATAAAATATTGTGTTTACCGGACGAAAAATCCTAATAATATATGCTCTAATATGTACTATATTCTTAGGGTTTCTCACCAGTAAGCACATGTCGGTACTTCTTGAATGTTCATTGCAGGTAAGATTTTTACATTTAATAACAATAAATAAAATTGAATTCTACAAAAAAGTATATAATTATTGGAGTTTGGTAGCTCTTATGTTTTATTCTTTCTAAGACTCTTAAAATATTGTGTTTACCGGGGAAAAGCCATTTGAATATATGCTTTAATACATACTATATTCATATGGGTTTTCACCAGTAAGCACATGTCTGTGCTTCTTGAGTGCTCATTGCAGGTAAGATTATTACATCTAATAACAATAAATAAAATTGAATTCTACAAAAAAGTATACAATTATTGGAGTTTGGTAGCTCTTATGCTTTTTCTTTCTAAGACTCTTAAAATGTCGATAAAATATTGTGTTTACTGGGGCAAACCCATATAAATATATGCTCTAATACATACTATATTCATATGGGTTTTCACCAGTAAGCACATGTCTGTGCTTCTTGAGTGCTCATTGCAGGTAAGATTATTACATCTAATAACAATAAATAAAATTGAATTCTACAAAAAAGTATACAATTATTGGAGTTTGGTAGCTCTTATGCTTTTTCTTTCTAAGACTCTTAAAATGTCGATAAAATATTGTGTTTACTGGGGCAAACTCATATAAATATATGCTCTAATACATACTATATTCATATGGGTTTTCACCAGTAAGCACATGTCTGTGCTTCTTGAGTGCTCATTGCAGGTAAGATTATTACATTGAATTTTACCATCCTTAATAATAAATAAAATCGAATTCCAAGTACATGATATAAAAATAAACTGAAAAATATCGTTTTGTGAGTAATACAAAAAAGTAAATTATAATTGCTAAGTACAATAATTTTGTTTGGCTACAGTTAAAGTATAATGCAACTTTAAGTCTGTTAAAAAATATGTACACAAAATAATATACTGACGGTCGATTGAACAAAATGCCCGTTGTGGACTAATATACGTTATAATAGTGATATGCTAACAAAAAACTCACCAAATTTCCTGCCGATTGTGAAACTGGATTACAGTTGTTGTAATGTCTACGTAAAACGTTTATAATACACGCAAAAGAATAAAAAAACAAGTTTTTCACATAATAATTTAATAATTAAGAACATTTTTAAAATTAAACAGAAAATTATTTAGTTGCTGTCGACCGAAGACCTTATACTATACTCTACAATTTAAGTTTGCCCACTTTCGCGAACCGGCAGCACGGTCCAGACCCTTCGGCCGAGATCATGGTGCTTTGTGATTGGTCGCTGGTGGTCGGTTGCCACCGTTATTTGTCACCAGTCACCACTGAACTCAATATTGTATAGTTATTATTAGTTACAATACTTGTATATAATAATAATAATAACTAGGTACTACTTGTACATCATTACCGCAGACATAATAATTTACACAGCATAATATAATATTGAGGCGTTAACTCAAGGTAGTAAATGCCAGAGCGGTAAACATTACTTTTTTTATTCCTACTACATTATCAGCATCACACATCAGTGTGAATAATATTTTAAACATTAAACATAATAATACTCCAACGAAATTGTCCATGATGAAATTATCTAGTATGACAGGTACGCAATTTTTTAATGAGGGCTCTAATTTTTTTACTAATCTATTTTTCGTCAGAGACCTCGGTCGCCGGCCGTGTCAATATTTCAGATTTTCATTTAACGTTTTGGCTGCGTTTAAAATGGAAGTTCAAATTTATATTTTAATATTATATTAAACTCTAAAGTCGTTATAGTTTATCAAACTACTTTTTTTTTTTATAGTACCCCTACAGCAGGCATCGGCTGCAGCTGCTGCTTCGACGGCGAGGGTAGGAGCTGGTAGGTACGCCAAACGGTTTGTCAGTGATGCCAAACCCTGTTACCAGACTACCACATTTTACAGAATCGCTTTTTAAAAATAAAAAGCACCGAATGTTCTATTCGAAACGCTACTTTAACGTATTGTTATTTAGATTTTCATACAAGACAAAATGAGCAAAAAACAAAATATTATATAATATTAAGCAAAAATAAACTAGGTATTCTTTGTGATAATGACCAAGTCGACGTTATCAGGTGACCGTATAGTTATTAAACGGGACGGTCGACGGCCATTTTGTCAGAAAATCATTAATATCCGAGTTGTCGACTACCTGTCAATTTTTACCAAACATAAACGGTACGCTTGGAATTTCGATTTTTTAGACGGAAAGGCTTAGCAGTCCGGTCGCTGTCGTTTGTTTATCTAGTATCAATGGACTATATTAATTTTGTAATTTCAGGCTCTCGCCCTCTCTGTTTATGTTCTCTTAATTTTGGGCCATTTATCGTTGGCTTTCTCACAGATCGTGTACCTACATTCTGTACACTGGATTTGACTACACTGTAATCACTCAACACCCCCCCCCCTATTGGGCAGAATCAATAAAATATCCATGTGACACAATAACTCGACTAAATGCTGAGAGTGGAGACAGATCAGCCAGTCAGGTCAGCGCCGACGTTCGGACGAGAAACTACTTCTGCCAATTTTCAATAAAAATCTTCCGACATTTCTTAATTTGTCAACCGGCGTACAACTGCTCGAATATGGACGAGGATGTTTATCGCTTTGCCGAAAGTAAGTTCTAATGGCAGCTATGCTACTTTAACTAATATCAATTATAATATTATTGTAGTATAACATTATAGTGGTATTCTTATACTTGGGAGGATTTGCTACTACACGTGACCGGGAAAGTATGGATTTTATAACGAATGAGTGTAAAATTATTTAAATTATAGTTGTGGAGTTGAATAATATGTTGAATGGGCTTAGATTGTGCGGTAGACGAGATTAAAGAAGTATCCGATGGCGAGGAGTCTAGAGAAGTAAATGCTTAGATGTGACTAACGGAGACACAGTGTTTACGATGTAGGCAGAAACCTCGTTTGTATCGGATGTATTAGACAGTATGTGAATGATATATGTACTATCGAACCCGGCGTTACTGTTACGAGCCTGTTTAAAAGTATTATAGTATAATACGAGCATTAAGATAGGTGATCTTATTAATGTGGGATGAAAAACATGACAAAAAAGAATAATTTTTTATTATGTTTTACCAAAATATTCAACTGTAGTATGAGGAAAATTAAAATCGTAAAATTAAATTAATATTTTATTTAGCAATCAAAACAAGTACATTTTTTATTGTGACAAAAAAAATAAAAGGTAAGTTAGAAACTAGATATTGTTTTGTAACGGCTTAAGAGGGAATAGCAAAAAATGTATTGATAAGTTATACATACATGTACTCATTAGCTCTAATTAGCACTCAGCGGTAACCGAGGGTGGTGGCGATGCGTTTGAAGCATTACTTGATGACATCGCCGATTTTTGGACATCACAAAATTTGTAAATGTAGAAAACATTGGTATTTCCTATTAAATATAATTCCGTCTACTTATAAAATGCACTATTTTATTTAATTACCCTCTGGTATTGAAAAAAATAGGGAGAGTTCCGTTTAATACACAAGTGCCGTTTCTTTTGTCAGAATGAGTAAAATTGATTAGCATAATTCACTCATAATAATTATTTCTTTTTTTTTTTTTTTACAGATGAAGTTGTTCTTTGTTACTATCAATCTATATTGTACGAAGGGAAAGTTGTAAAACGTAAAATAACTGACGATAACGAGGTTTATTATTATATTCACTATTACGGATGGAATAATTCATGGGATGAATGGGTACACGATGATAAAGTTCTGTCTGTTAATGAATTTTCAGTGGATCATATGGCATCACTCCATTTTGAGCAGTAAGCATTATTGTATAATTTAATTATTTTTCGTCAAGAAACCATCTCATGATGGCAGCGTTAGGCTTTATAATAAATATACATTTTTGTTAACTGTTAACATGTATAAATATACATTGAAATGAAAAACTCAAATATACTCTTAACACATACAAACCATTTAAAGTAAAAATTATGAAAATAATCATTAGTATGTTTTACCATTTACCAACACGTTGATTTGTATATAAAAAAGTACATTGGCATGAACAACAAAATGGTATTCAATGACTTAAAAATACATTAAAATATAATTTTTTGGTACGTTATGCATACAACGCTGAAATAGAGTTTTTCCTCTTAAATGGACTCGATAGTCAAGTAAAAATAATAATAGTAGTAACTCTGATAAATAAGAGGGCTTATTACTTTTTTTTCATATTCTTAATTAAATAAAACATATGTTTAAATATTAAGTTATAATATTTTATATTTTTATGTCATCAGTTGATGTAGAATCGGGCTATAGCATATATAATTTCCTCAAAAATCAGAAGTCAAACTTTTTTTTTTGCTATGGAAGTACCCAAAAAAATATAAAAAGTTACACTTAAACAGTAGTCAATTTCTAGGTTGCTAAATTGTTGATAATTGTTGTACTGTAGTTTTTTTAAAAATGTTTTTTTATTTTTGATCAAGAAATTTATTTTAAATAGATTTGAAATAATTTAAGATAATTTTTTTTATCTAAAATATACTATTTATCTTTTATTTATTGAAAGGTACAGCTAATAACGTTGTTCACAAATAATAATGTATCTTTTAATCATTGCTAAACAGTCTATTATTTATTACTTTGCTGAAATTTCACCTAACTCTGTCTACTATACAGTTACATTGCTCTTAATGTGTGTTAATATGTTTTTGATATTTTAGTAATATCAAAGTAAACTTGCATGTAGGAAGACCTAAGAAACGTCGTCCGTTAGACCAATCCGATAATACGTCTTCGGACGAAGAAACATACACATACGAGACAGGTAATCTAATAGAATTTTTTACAATTTAATTCATGTTTTTTTAAATTAATTACTATTTATTACTTTTTTCTCTTAACAGTGTGGCCCTCACATAGGAGGAATGCCGCCTTTCATATGGGATACATAAGGCCAGGCACTAGGCGATATAACAGGCCGCCCCCAGACCGTGATCTGATGGTAATGTGTTTCCGTTAAAATGCTTTGCGTGACCAACGAGAGTCAGTAGTTAGTCGTTGCCATCAATAGTTCATTTTTAAAAGTAGTATTGTGGCCGATATTTATGTAATAGCATATAGTAGTTATGTTGTTTGATTTTCACTTTGCATTTAAAACTATTTGTGGTTTTAGCGTCCTTCAAGATATAACAGAAAACTATTTGACATGCCAACGGTATTAAAGCGCAGAGTGGCGTTCGACTATAGTATGATTAACGTATTCCATAAGGTATATTATTATTATTTTTTTAAATGAAACTAATTTTACAATAATTTGCTGTACAAGCACTGTGTTTACCTATACAAGTATTTATTTTATTACAGCAATTAAAATGTCCACCAAGAATTACCATCTCACAGTTAGTTATTGACTACATAGATTCAAAACAGCACAAGAGTTTATTTATCAGGTGAGTATTGAATTTTTATGTTTTTTTAAAAATAAAATATATATGTATACATTAAAAAAAAAAAATGTTTTTAATTTTTAGGGAGAGAGCAAAAAATGTATCATTGACGATGGTACAACATTTTAATGCATATAGACACAAGCTTTTATACGAAATTGAGCGTTTAAATGGCGTGGCCCAAAAAGTATAGTAGTTTTTAAAAAATGTCATCTATTGTATGTTGTTTCAATTATGTCATTTTATTTTAAGGCTCAGTATTTATTATTAGAAAAAAAAAGACAAAACGATTTAAAATTACAATTTCCTTACCCTGAAGACTTATGGTGTTCAATATATGGGCCAATATATCTATTGCGGTTTTGTGGTATGTATGAAATATTTATTTGGGTGATAGTTTTAATTTTAAGCCAAATGACATACAATCAGTTGAAAAACTAATGTAAGCGCTGTTTAATGTGATAAAATTATATTGGCGTTCGTAAAAGTTTTAGTGTTAATTTAGTTTTACATCTTGTATGACATTTAATGTAATTAATAAATTCGTAATATGTTTTTCAGTTAATTTGGAAAAGATTATAAAACCAACATTGTTGGAACCAGAACTGTTACCATTAATGATCGATGTTGTAAATGATTTTTACATGTAAGAATTTTCAACAAAATTATTTTTACTTGTTTGTTGTTATAACTTAATAATTTTTTTAAAATTACAATTGGAAAAATTAACCTTTCCATTATTAGTGAAATGAAGTCAGTGTGGCATAGTGGTTATGCAGCTGGCTACAAGAATTTGTTTGAATCAATTCTGGGTAATATTTATTGAAAATAACTTTTTATTTGTCAGGTATTTAAATAAAAAATTGTTTGAAATTATTATTTGGATATTCTATAAAAATTAAAATACAATTGTATTTAATATTGAGTTTTTATTTAAGTACATTTTAACTTTAAATTATCACTTGAGTTTATATTTAAATAAAAAAATGTTTAAATAATGCCCAGGTTTGGTTAAAATATTAATTTTGAAAGACTAATTTAATGAAAATAAAGCGTAAATATTCACACTGGTTCCAATTACCCTGTACTAAATTATTTGTTTTTAGGTTCATTGTACAAAACTTTTCAAGGTATTTCTCCAATGATGATTATGAAGTATGCGGCTTACTGGTACCGATAGTCTTATAATGCAGAGTTAAAAAAACCACCAATTAAAGTAAACATTTTTAAACCCATTTTGATTCATTTTTTTTTTTTTTAATGTCTTGATTTATTACACATAATATATTTTAGTCTGTTGTATGTTGCAATAGTCTATTGTAATAGTGTGTGAGATGTATGCATGTTTATATAGCAGTGAGCCAATTTTAGTTTATAGTATGGAGGTATAAATTAGTGGTGGGACTATTCGAATAAAAAAAATTTGAATATTCGAACACTTTTTTCACACGAATATTCGACGGGTTATTCGAATATTCGATCTGATTTATCAAATATTCGAATATTTTATCATTTTCTTTACAGGATTAATTAGATTAAAAAAAAATAATTAAGAGACAACTAAGGTGTCCTTGATCTATTTTTAATAATTTTTCTAACAAAATAAATATAATTATAACGAATTATTTTTTTGACAAAATAAATATTATTACTTATTACAAAAAAATAAGATTTTAACAATTTATATAGATATATAATTACAAAAAAAACATAAATTTGACAAATTATTCGAAAATTCGAATTATTTGATTACTATTCGAATTGTTCGATAACTATTCGAATATTCAAATTATTTTCATGCGAATAGTATGATTCGATTATTGAATAATTCAAATAATAGAAAAATTCGATTCGAGGTCTCGGCTCTAGTATAAATATGGAAATAATGAGAAAAAGGAATTTTAAGAAAAGATTGACAACAGATTGATTTGGTATGTGGGGCGAACGAAGCGCTAGATACGGGACTTTACTAAAAGAGAAGTACACTGTGCGAACGAATCGCAAGACAAGTGTACGAGGAAAGAAAAGGAAAAAGTACAAGGTGTTTTAGCAAACACACTCTTAAACTTAAGCCTTGGAAAACGGACAGCGACAACAGAGTACTTTTGACTGATGATCATCTAGTGCACAGAAGTCGACTGACCAAATAGCATTGAATTCTATCGTCTTTTATATTGTTTTACCTTTTGCAACTAAGCGTTATTGTTAACTTAATTGTATAGTCATCAGTCTCAAGTCGTCGTAAGCACTGCTCATATTTATTTTTAAAAATTTACCTATATTGACGACGTGGTCATCATTATATAACAGTAGGCCACGCCAAATGATCGGCTGTTAGTCTACCAGAAACACCGATGTGATTTTAACGTAGTTTTTTATAGGAAAGTATGATTGGTTTGTGCGTTTAAAAATGCAAAGTTTAAAGCATTTAGAACAGATAATAAAATTGAGTCATATAAACCACAGGGTAGATAAGATTATATATTTTATATTGTTATAAATATATTATTATGTAAAAATTAAAATTTTTAATGAAAAAACATACTGTACATAAAAAAACCATTATATAAAATATTAATATATTTTTTTCAGATTTTAACAAGTAGCAGTCCTTTTTATATTTTTCGATCGATGATTACAAGCCTACAATTATTACGAGTGAAACAGATGTCACGTCCCAAAATACTAAATAATGGATCATCGAAAACGACTGTTTTGCATGTTTGATTGAAACTATTTCATTTAAAGTAACATTTTACATTTCTCTGATAATGATTAAATTTTTTTTTTTTTAATCTATTGTGTGTAGTTTAATAATGTTAATCTTTACTGTGGTTTTGTATTTAAAATTTAAAAATTGACTTATGCATAGAAATTAATTATAAAATGAAGAATTGTCTGTAAATAGCAATCGCTAGCTAATTACCAAATTTCAACAATTTCTATAGGCTTAAGATTTTCAATTTAAGTCGATAAATTAAGTGCTGTCAAAAAGCATAATATGTAGAAAAATTTTGATTTAAACTGACATTTTTAATAGCTTCTTAACACTAAGATAACTCTTATGAGTAAAATACTGATGTTTTTAAACCAGTTAAAATTTTCATTTTAATATTAATTCAGTTACATTAAAACGTCATTGACGGATAATTGTTAGATTTACATAAATACTTACTTGTCCTGCTTTGAGTTTATCAGGAATTTAAAAATGTTCTATAGCTAACGATTTGTGAACAGCTTTTTATACTGTTGCTCTTGTCGATTTCAAACGAGTGTTGATAATAATTTTTTTAAATACACAAAACTTTTAAAAATATGTAAATATGTAGTATGTAAGTATTAAAGCTGACAAAATGTAATTTATGTAAATCAGTGACTTATCGTTTTTGAAATGACTGATTATTATTAATCAAGTAATTTACTTAAAACTTTCCTAGGTGTAGTCGCTGTTGTTAATATTAGTTTATATCAAAGTGTGTAAACTATGTTTAATATTATATTTACATTCCAATTTTTTCTTAAAGTGAGCTATTTGCATTCCTTATTTATATAACATTAGATGCATAGCGCCAAAAAAGCATAATCCAAAAATTTATTTCAAGAAAAAGGCAATTCTTATTTTTTAAATGACAATTCCAGATCAATTAAGTTTTGTCATGTAGTGGGGGTTTTATTTTTGGTTTCGATCACCAGGGAGGAGGATCAGAAGGATTCCCGTAGTTGTCGGACACCGATTATTTTTATTTTATTTTTCTCTGTCGTTTGTAGAATATTTTATCGTATAGTTTTTTACCAGCTTTTTTGCAGAAACTGCCCATAAACTCTTTCACTGTAAAGAGACATTAAAAGATCATCGGATCTATTAATTCATGCGCCTGTAGATCTTCGGAAACATTTTTTATTGGAACACGTATACTTTCATATATAGTATGACATAATATGAACCAGATCCAGGCGTCGATCCATGATTGTTTCATCTCTTCTTTTTTTTTTTTCCAAAAAGAAAAACGACATTTATAGTTGAATTCGTAATGACCATCTTGTCATCAGTTTGCATCGGTTTGATTTTTAATTATTATGTTATTCTAAAATGTAATATTTTGTGGGTTAAGCTTTTTTGTAGCTATGCGTGTCATAAATTTATTGGATTTTTTTGTTATTGTGTCCTAGCTTTTACTACTATTATAAAATATTTGTAAGTTTGAACTTTTCAAATTATGTTATGTAAGGGGTTTTCATGATTTATTTAACAAGTCATATTGCAAACTATTTGTACATAAAAGTTCTATTGTTTGTAAGCTAAACTAGTGTTCTGTGTTCGGTTGTGTGTTCCTAAATATTAAAACTAAAATATTGTTTATTATAATATGCATTTAAATATCCTTGTTTGCAAAAAAAAAAAATTGTAATGTTTTTAAAATATTAGGAATAATTTTTTTTTGTCAACTAGGAAATCCTACATTGATGTTTTATTTATACTCGTTTTTGTGAATAAAAAAATAAAATACAAATTTTCTTTTTTTTTTATACACTTATAAAAAGGTAAATTATATGATTTGTGTTGATGGGCAATTTACTATCTAATAATCATAAACAATGTGATTTATGATTGAAAACTTGATATCTAATCATTTTAATTGGCTTTCAGTGGTATAAAATAAACCAATATCAGTCTAAGTCAAAGTGGTAACTTGGCTCAGCACTTCTCTCTCGCCCCTTAGGTATTATACACGCCAACTGATAGTACAAAGGAAAACAATTCTGAAAGATTAGCTTGAATATTGTAGAGTTTGACATATCTGCCATCGGTGGTAACGTCAGATCTTCCGTCCTTATCGATAACCGTTTTTTGCAGGTACTTCTGGTGTAAAAATACTCCGTCAAGTCCAAGTGTATTAAAAAACTATGTTATTGTTCATACATAATGTTTTCAAAACAACGCTAATTATTAAAATGTATTTTTTGAAGATTTTTTTATAAAAACTTTCATTTTCTTTTAATGAAATCCACCAAAAATATCTAAATTTGAATATAAAAAAATAAGTAGTGATATCGATAAACAATATTTTTTATTTTATTTAAAATAATTAGTTTTTTTTTATGAAATTTCAATAATTTTACTCTTTCTTTTTATTTCATGTTTTTCACAATTTCTATACTTTGGTTAAACACTTTTATTGAACTTCACGTGTATGTGTGTGTCCTAGTCAATTTATTATCCACCCTTGGTTTCGCTGAAGGCGGAATGCTATTTATTTCATTCATATCTGCATATATTATTAACTAATGAGGTTCACATTACTAATTTGGGGCTGTCCATCTACCAACATTTTGTGAATTTTTCAGATGTTGTACTTTTTTTGTCATTATTTTACACATGATTATTCCGGCTATAGGACCAAACGAAACGCAAATTAAATTAAACCTAACCAAGCATAAGTAACTTACTTAACTAGGTAGTAATTATTTTACTAGGTTCAGTTTAGAAATTTAGATTATACAGTATTAGTAGTAATTACCAAGACAGAGTATAATTATTATGATGTTTTAATTACAAATATTGTGTTGAAAACCATTATTGCTTATAGCTGTTGGTACGGTCAGTTATTTTTCATCAAAGCATCTCAAGGTGCTATGATTATTTTTATTGTATTAACTCTTAAGGAAAATATACAAATAAGTAACATATTTGTCCATTATATTGCAAATAAAAGTAACTTTAAACTTACATAACACTGTATCGGTTATAGGTATTGTTTTTGTGTGTTATTCGTGAGTTGAGTTTGACTATATTTGGACAGAATTATTGCGTTTTTGTTTTATTTCATTATATTAAAAAGAAGGCGGAAGACAGAGAAGTTAACAACGTGATTGGTATGTACTTTTATGTATTATTAATAAAAAAAAAATAATTATAGTGTTTAACAGTAGGTAGACCAGTAGGTAGTTTTATTCGCTGTATCTTCCTACTTAAAATGTTAATTTTTATTTTGAAATACAAAAATCTACTTCACCGTCGCGCCACTAGATCGTACTGCAGTATAGTAAAGTTATATTTTTTTGTTAAAATGTACTCTTACCTATAATATTTCCGGTGTTGAATACTCATTTTAAATTAATAGTATTTATTGATTTATGGAGAGTTCAGTGAATAGTAATTTTTTACTTTTAGATTCAACCAAATACTTCTCAGTTTATTGTAATAACCCGTTTCAATTAAATTTTTTTTGTTGGATAATATTCCTTTACACGTGTAACACTAAGCATATTATAACTTTTACATGTCAGGAATACAATTTTTTAAAGTTTCTATTTAATTGTTAAAATAATAACTGTTAACATGTATAAATAATTAATTAAATGAAATACTCAAATATACTCTTAACACATACGAACCATTTGAAGTAAAAATTATGAAAATAATCATTAGTGTGTTTTACCATTTACCGACACGTTGATTTATATATAAAAAAAGTACATTGGCATAAACAACAAATTGGTATTCAATGGCTTAAACATTTTTCGGTACGTTATGCATACAACGCTAAAATAGTTTTTTTCCTCTTAATTGGACTCGATAGTCAATTTGAAACAATAATAGTAGTAACATATTAAATAATAATTAAACATAATAAAATATTTAACAGTATTATAAGAGTATATATTAATTTTTTTTCATATTTTCAATTGAATAAAACGTATGTTTAATTATTAAGTTATAATATTTTATATTTATATATGTTAATCAGTAATGTGTTGTTTATGTAAATTGTTATTTTAATTTTTAATGTTCTATTTAAATAGATAAAAAATTATTTCAGTTTTTTTAAGCAAAGTTTTTGGGATTTAGGTCTGAAAATTAGACCAAAAGTAGATCTAGAACGAGCCAATAACATTTACAGTTTTCTCGAAAATCTGTAGTCAAACTTTTTTTTTTATTAAGGAAAAATCAAAAAATAGACAAAACTTACAATTTGACCGTAGTCAGTTTTTGTGTAGCAATATGTGAGTGAATCAACAGCCAACAGGTAATGAAAATATTTCCATTATATTGCTGTTTACGATATATTATATATGATATAAAATGTATATTATGTTATTTATATAATTATGAAAATATATTGTTATGGACAGACGGCCAGCCCTAATCAATTCACTTTTATTGTTAAAAACTAATTTTTATGCTTATAATTGCCACTAGGTTCAATGTTTTGATCGACATTTGTAATTTTATCTGCGAACAATGGATCTTCCTTACTTACTCACTTACGCATAATACTTTCTTACTGTGCTTGGTTGAGACTGCATTGGTTTGACCTACTATCTATAGATTCGCTTCGAAGCGTTTATTTATTTTTTTTAACATTGCAAAAATGAAATATGTATCATAATATAAATAAGTCACTGATGCCGCTAATTGTCACATTCGTAATCAATTTTTAAATTTAATGTATAATTAAAAAAACTATGGACCAAACAATTTATTTTTTTAGGACATGCTTTTTAGTAAACTATTGTAAAAAAATGCTCAGGCCAGGATACGAAATTTGTTTTTTTTTTGCCAAAAATGAAAGGGTCAATCGCTTGTACAGGTTCGGACGCTTGTAGTGTAAGTACGCAGATAACAGATATAGTGGAAAAAGTCCAAAATATTTTCATTTTCAATAACTATGCAGTGTTTGAGATTCGAGTTTAATAATATGATAGAATTAATTTGTTCGTGACAACTGACAAACGACAATTATT